TGTTTTTATATAAGCAAAGAAAGCAGTGTCTTTACATATGCAAGATTTCTCAGCTAAACATGGACTGCAAGAATTGGCTTATTTCAGAATTTGTAAAATACCACAAGCAAGACTTAAATAAAAGTGCCATCTTACACTCTGAATTTTGAAGTTGCTTTTATATTTAATACACAGACAAAACCATGAAGTGTTTGCCTTCGATTTCCTTACGTATCACAGAATCACAGTTGAGGTCGGAAGGGACCTCTAGGGATCATCTAGACCAACCTCCCACTCAAGCAGGGACACCTGGAGCACAGGGTGGCATCCAGGCGGGTTTTGAAGGTCTCCTGAAGAGAAGGAGACTCCACAACCTCTCTGGGCAGCCTGTGCCAAGGCTCCCCAGACCACCCTCACAGGAAAGAAGTTCTTCCTCACATGGAGGTGGAACTTCCTGTGTTTCACCTTGTACCCATTACTCCTATCACTGGCCATCACCGAGAAGAGTTGGCCCGTCCTCTTCACATTCTCCTCTCGGGTATTTGTGTGATCAGATCCCCTCTCAACCTTCTCTAGGCTAAACTGGCCTAACTCGCTCAGTCTCTCCTCATATGATAGATGCTCCAGTCCCTTAATTATCTTTGTCACTCTAGGCTAGACCGTCTCTAGAAGCTCCTCATCCCTCTTGTACCAAGGAGCCCAGAACTGCACCCAATACTCCAGGTGCAGCCTCACCAGAGCTGAGCAGAGGGGCAGGATCACCTCCCTCAACCTGCTGGCATGGGTAGGTGATGCCTATTTGGAATAATAGCAGTATTTTAGATGTGATGGCTTAAAGACACAACATAAAATTTGTAGGGGAAAACACAGTAAAACCAGATGAGGTTTTGGACATCTAAGGCTTTATCAGAGCTGATGATAGAAAGTTTTAATCCTGTAGACACAACATAAAGCTAAATTAGCCAAAAGATAAAGCTAAATGCATGGTTATCTGAGATTTTGACAAATTATGAGTTTGAAGACCCCAGAAATTTATCTAACTGAAGGTTCCAGTAAAATGTCTGAAAAGGCCTAAGGTTCCTTGAACTCAAGTCCTACTAACTTCCAGAGGGACTTGAGGTGCTGCCTTCCAGAAGCCTGTTAGCAGTTTGGCTGAAATGCTTATATCAAATTCACATTATCTGAATAACCAATTTTTTTGCAGCAGAGAGAAGTGTGAGTCCTGTCTATTTCTTTGCCAGGAAATGTGTAATGTTTGCCCAGATTAAATGCCAGGTCAGTTTGGTTCATGCAAATGATATCAGAGGCTGATTGAAACAAATACTGGTCCGTTCCTGGCTCTGGGTACAGATTGACAAGGTACATCTATTTTTTTCTAAATTAATTGAATCATAAATCTATTTTTCTCCTTATGTAAATCTTCTTGTACAGTAAAGTAAAAAGAATCAGGAGGCTACTACTTGTAATTAGAGTTTGCAGAAAGAATATCTGCATAATTTAATAATTTGGACAATTTCTATTAGGATCTAAGGTGATCTGCTTTTCTTTCTGCAAAGAGAGGCTGTGACTAACACATGCTCTAGGCAACAAATTCTTTGTTCCATATAATTTTAGCAATTAAGGAGGGAAAGGGAGAAGGATGGCATCACAGAAGCAAATAAGGGCTCTGATTTTGAAGAGATACTGAAAGATGAAAAGATCTGGAGATAATCTACACAGATTAGAAAACTACAAGACGCCATTCCCTGTTCTCCAAGATAAGGATAACTATCAGAGAAGGCTCAGTTCTTTGATGCTACTGACTAGTTATTTTGAGAGTGCAATAAATCCAGAATGGGCACTTTCTGTGCAAAAAAATGCACATGTATTCAGAAGGGATTTTAACAGAATCTCTTAATTCCTTCAATGAATTTTCCAAAAGGCCACTATATTTAGAAATATTAAGACACCCACAAGGTGGCAGTAAAAGAAAGTTTCGTTTTTTTCCAATGAGACAGCAATACTTCTTTTTTTTTTTTTCTAGAGTGGGTTAATCTGAAATATTAGTTCTCTAACCAATAGGGCTGTTTTTGAGCCAGGAAAACACACACTCGCATTCCAGAGAGATAAATGTTTCATAAAGAAGTCTCAAAGCAGCTCAGGTGGGCGTCTCAAGCAGCACTACTACGGAATGAGGATGCAAGAGAGATTTTTCCAAGGCGCAGAAGTCACTACCAAGTACTTCTGAGTGTGGGTATTACCTGCAACACATCCCTCCACAGCAGCACTCTGATTTGTAGTTTTTAGACTTTTGTTGTTTGTTTGTTTTTTAACTTGTGGTTCTGAAAATAAGTTCAACTACTTTATGGAACAAGAGGGTCTTATTTTACAAAACATCTGGGATCAATCCCTGGCTCTATTATCTACTTTCTAGAAAAAGTCATTTAATTTTACTTCTACAAATGAGGTAAAATGCTTTCTTCTTCCACTTCTGTCAGTTTTCTTAGTTCAGGATGTAGGAAATAGTGTGCCTATCCCATGCAGGGCAGAAAGGAACGATTGCAGAAACACACCAAAGAAGAAGAAGAGATTTCCAAGGCCCAGCAGCACGGTATTATCAGTTATGGAGAGCAAATCAGAAGAAGTAATTTTCAGAGTATGTGACAAAAATCTTGATTTCCCAAAGGGAAAAACTGAAACCTCCTTATCAAGAACTTTCTTTGAAACAAACAGATTGCCATTTTTTTTCATGACTGTTAGCAAGAAATTGTGCTGTAAAGCACAATATTATGTTTCTTTCACCGATTTGCATTTACTGCCATATCCCTGAAGATTTTTTTTAGACCACATGGATTAGCATGTTCTATGTAAATTCTCTTTCATAGTTCTCTTGGATGCTAACTTTTCCACGGAGAAGGCCAGTCCAATAGGCCCCCCATTTTCACTATGTCTTTGTGATTGTCATACATCATAACTCAGCAGCACTTTTGAAACTATTTGCTGTTTCTCTTTATTTCCCACAGAGAGTTGCAACAAGCACAACAAACTGCCTGTGCTTGTTGAAGCTCCCTGTTAATTGGCAAAGCTGTAACATTAAATTCAAGTGACAGCACTATTCATACATAGGATGTCTGTCCAGACTTACCCTAATCGCTTCAAACAACTGCATTCTTAAATAGCCAATTTTTAAACCTTGCACATAATGAAAAAAAGAAAAGACTTAGAATAACTTGCCTGGCATATTGTCTTCCCAAATACTTTATTTGTTTTTGAATTTTTGGCCTAGTTTTATGTTCAATTAAAAATATACTTTTCAAGCCACATTTTCCTTTCCTGCCATGAGACATTCATTTTTTTGAATGCACAAGTTATGGTTCTATGATGGTCACCTCCATTAATTATGTTACTAAGACATAAAATTAGTTTCCTGTTTTCTCAAGGTTCTGAGAGTCTGTCATGATGGATGACGACATTTTTCTAGGAACCATGGAAAAAGATTGCTTGTACTTTCACTTTCAGTAAGTTAATAGCATATAAGCATACTTCCCTGGAGGCTACTTCTCACAGGGTAACTTCATGGCGCCAGCACTGTCTTGTACAACTTAATTTGAAATTTCAGAGCCTATTCTACTTTCACTTCCACCCAGTATATCAAAAATTATGCTAACAGTTAATATTTAATATTAAAAGCATATACATTCTTGTACTGTGGAAATCCATAAAGTATGCCAAAAAAAGGGGCAGAAAATAAGATCTGTGAGCAACAGAATTAATGCGGGCAGGAATTTGGCTCCCATGAACGTGTAACCGCAGGTCTCGCAGTCCCAGGAGCAGTTACCGCCTCGGCTCCCTTCACCCCGCTGCCACCTGCCTGCCCTCACTGTCTCCTCAGCGACTCGGAGCACGAAATGGCCGCCACTGCCCTGAGCTGCGGAACCAGCACCTGGGCCTGGCAGCAGCCAGACCCCAGCAACAGCGGAGCTCTTTGGGCAGGTTTGTTGCTCAGTGGGGGCACTCTCTGCAGGGTTTTCCTATCTTAGAGATCTCTTTCTTCTGTCCAATTTGGGTGAATCTGATCATTAGGTTCAAAGACAAATGAAACAGACACAAACATCCTGATAAGACACACTCGGAAAGTCATTAGGTTCAAAGACAAATGATGGTGAAACAGTCAAAAACATCCTGATAAGACACACTCGGAAACTATTACTCAGTTCTCCAGACTAAAGGATTGTATTACTTAGGGTCTGCAAGCTTCTCATTCCTTTTAATTCCTCCACTGTCTTGCCCAGGTGTTTTAACTGGTTGTTGTGAAGCAACAGAATCTGTAAGGCACACAAGTGTTTCAGAGCACCTGAAATAAAAAAAAAAAAAACATTTATTTTGACCGTATCTGTTTGCCTTGATTAGATGATGTTTTATAATGCTGCATGTCAAATTGGATATCCTAGCTATCTCCCTATGCTTGCCTTTTCTATAACATGAGATTACTAAAAAGATGTTTTATGTATCAGATTTCAGCAGCCCTTTTACCTCTTCTATTTACATCATTTGAACACAAACTCCATGTTCTCAATTTCAGTTCCTTCCATTTGTCCCCGTCTCCCTCACCTCAAGAAATCAAGTTCACCTGCACCCTTTTCTCCTTTCTCCATTCCTCTTCTTTCCTTCGTTCCTCTTCCTTCATTCATTCCTCAGTATATCACGATAATTTTTGGTCTACTCCCCTTACCTTTTTCTCCTCACCAACATTACTATGTACCTTAGGAAATAGCTCAATTTCAAATAATTAATAACACATTAAAGTTACTCCTCCACACTGTTGTGACAGATGCACATTACATCGTGATCTCCTCCCTCCACATCAAGTCTACACTGTTTCTATTCAGCTCTTCTCATCCACATTCCTCTACCAATGATACCTGCCCTTCTGTATCCCATATTTTAGATCTTTCTTCATTGTCTCTTTAACCTGGGTATTTCTTGCTTTCAATCATTAACTTTCCCCAAAATCTTGCAGAAACTAATCATCAGCACCATTTCTCCATCCCAGTATTTTACAGGGACAGAGAAAGGTAAAATACTACCATTTAAAATGTTTAAAATACACACATATTTTAATATGCTATGGCCTCTCCATTCACAAATTCACTCACTGTTCTGCTGCTGCCATTTCACAAGAGCACGCAAAACTGAAGTAGATGTATAAGACAAAGATGGAATTTTTGAAGAAAAATCTTGCGTTAACTTTGCAGAATACTTCTGACGTATACAAATATATCATGGAAAAACTGCAGAATATTTATGATGATATTACAAATGGGACAATTTATTAATTTACTGTTCTTTTATTTTTACATTGTGTCTGTCAGCACTGCTACCAGTTTTTCACCATGTAAACATCCATGCCTCTCAAAAAGTACCTGGTCAGCAAGGGAGATACAAATAATCATATCTGAGATAAGCTTTGCATATTTATTATGAATATGAAATATGGTAGTATTAGATCAATTTTTTTGTTTTACAATTGATGTTAAATTCACATAATACTTCCAAATCTTATTTTTTCAGTTGTTTTAACAGAAGTAAAACTAAACTCACGCAAAGCTCACAGCCTGCTAAAGATGTATAAAGTGTTTGTGTCTGATACGTTGACTATACTTGATACAGATCAAAATAAATAAATAATAACTATATAATAATATGTAATTGGCAAGTGAAATTATATTTCATTCCCTTAGACCAGGACTAAACTTGACAATAAATATCCCCTAATTGGCTAATCAAATCTCTAAAAAAATAATTGATGTGTATTTTATGCATACATGGGAGGAATTGTCAACCATTAGGTCACATACATCAGAAAGAACATATAGGTCTTTGCTCAACAAAAAGGGGAAGTTGGTACCTGATATATCTGTGATCTCATTATTATTGAGGTAGAGTTCTGTCAAGCAATGGTTTTTGACCAAGAAACTCAAATCTTGGATCTGAAATGAGAATATATGTCATCTAGACTTAACTTCAACAGTAAGCATGGCCTCCTTAAAAGCATCTCATTATAGCTAGATTTTTGTATTATGGTGAAAGAGTCTTTTGGTATAAGGCATATCTTAAATGCCTTAATCCTAAATGCCTCTTCATCTCTTTCAGAGCTGAAACTTCATTATAAATACTAATTACTCATGCCAAACACATGTAAAATAGCCTTATATAATCTTTTAAACTACAAATTTTACATTTGCTTTGGGAAACAGATTTCACTGTTATTATTGGCCTTTGAATTTTTAGTTCTATTCACATTCACCATACTCTCTTTGCGTGAACACCCTTGTTCTCCCTATATTGTTTTAAGAATATTTCCAAAGAATATGCTTGCAGTACATCCAAGAAATTTCAAAAAATATTTCTGCACCAGCAGAACTGGAGAGGATGTATTTGCTCTAAACTTCCTCAAAAGATGAAATAAATGATAATTATCACAAAATTTGTTGTATGGCAGATTCCTAATCAAGAGTTATCTTCTCACTTTGAGGAGCTCTGTTCTCACCTTGTCTTGACTTGGATGCAAAGTAAAGTCTATGCAATGGGATACCAAGCTGACCATTATAGTTTTTATTTGTTTGTTACTGCTTAGTGAGATGCAAAAATCATACTTGTTTATCTTTGACTGATCAGCAAGGTCAGCTCTGCTTGATCATCAGACCATTTCTTACTCTTCAATTCCTTAATAAGTAACAGGGGAAGCCTTGTATGTGTGGTTTTAGTGCAGCCTTTTATGTATCCATATTTTTGTCTTTGAGAACAGTTGGATAACCACAGGTCTTTCAATAAAGTCAACATAAGATGCTATGTAATTAATGCTAGCCTGAAGCAGCAGATACTCATACACTCCTAAAATATGGAATGCAATTTTGCTGCTGCCGCTCACAGAACTACATATTCATCTGAGGAAGTACTTCTGGTGTTCTAAGAACTTGAAAGTCATGCAAATTATTGTACATTGAGATATTTAAGAGCAGGGTAGAAATTGCTGTGTTCCATCTTTTTTTTTAAATTATCAGTACTTAATGGTGAAGGTTTGGATTTAATATGGGAAAAAAATAGTGTTCGGCTGCGTATTGTGGAGATTCCTAAATCAGGTAATTCTAGAGCCAATTGCTCAACCCCAGCATTGCAGGGCAAGCTGCTGTGCACAGGGAGGAGCCACCATGGCAGAGTTACAGGTCACTCCTGGGCGCAGGAGCTCCAAGGGGGCTCTCACCTTGGCCACCCGCCTGCAGTGAAACAACCCCTGTACCTCCCAAAGGGCAAAATGAAGCGGCCGCTCATTGCTTACAGTCAGCTCTCTTCCTGAAGCATCAGCAAGACTAGACACCGTGACAAGGACACCTGAGGGTCACATCACCCCTCGGGCTGCTCCACGAGCTGCCCACCACAGCGATGGGCTCCAGTGAGCTCTGCTGCAAACTGCGACCCTAGAGCTCACGTTATAGTACCAGAGAATTTCTCCAAACAGCCTAGTTCCAAATGTACTCAATTTCCCTTTCTATTGCTAAAACATGAGTATAAAAACCTCAGTTTCTTAAATTCATGAATTTATAAATGTGCTCTGAATCTAAAGGAAAAATTCATTTTATATTCTATAATATATAATGAAAAACTATGTTTATTCAGAACTGTCATGTTTATATCAGTTAATGGTATATAGTTCTCAGAAATTAGGAATAATCCATTAATTTGGAAGTTATGCAATATTTTATCTTAGCAAAAATATGAAGTGTTTAATCGGTGAGTATTTATGCATTGCTCTGCTTTTTAAATGTATGTCTTATTACCTTATTGTTATTAATCCACAGGTACCTTAACCTATGAAACCGTGCCAGACTCGGAATAGTTCTTAGACCTCTGGTGGAAGAAAAGAATTAACAAATTGTTTAATGTTGCAGGTGATTACCTGGTAAACAGTTTAATTTTTGATAAATAACATTATAAAACACTAAAAAGCAAACAAAATATATAGAAATTATAGCAGAAAAAGACACATGGAACAAGATGGCAGGGAGTGCAAACATTCTGAACACTTGACAGCGTAACAGGTTGTAAAGAAATGGGAACAGACTCATTTATACATTTTTTTTTTAAATTTTGAAACAGCCATTATTTTTCCAGATGAGTCCCATTTACTTTTCAGTTTGTAGGAAAACTGCCCAGAACACATGAAGGGAAGTTTTACATTTCAGGGGACACAAGTCTAAAGGGAAGATTGTTTTTGAAAGTCCAGTGCAGCTTCCCCAGCCCCAGTGGCACAGGACCTACTAGAAGACATGCAGCTTCTTTCACCCTCTCTCCTGTCCTCACATGAGTTTAGTGCACACTCCTCCTCACTCAGCAGTTCTGGTTTAAATGCAGCTGCACATCCCAGTGTGCGTGTAAGGTTTTCTGTTTGTCTAACTGTGCATCTAAGACTTGAAACTGCACTTGCAAGTATCTTATAAATTAAAAACATGAGAATATGAGCTCTGAGAAATTTTCACTCATGTTCTTCCTAGCTTTTCATTGCTTTAAACAAATGTTCTTGGTTTTCTCCAGAATAACTAAAGATTAGTTTTAAATTATGGTTTTTTTAATCTATGTAGTAAAACTTTTCTTGCAGCTTTGAACCTATGCAGGACTAGGCTAGTGTTGCAGAAGGAATTAATAAGATCAGTAAGTATTAATGTCACATCATCAGCCTAATCTCACCTGTGTGTGTTCCAGCTGGGAAGCCTTGTCTCCAGTTTCCCATGTTATTCTTTCCAGACACCCTCTGGACATAAGACAGGTGAGGGTGGACACCTCTTCTCACATTGCATTTGAAAACTATTGAGAGCAAACAGCAAAAGGCTACGTGCTGTAGTCTCATTCTGTATTTCTAGAAAACAGATTATCCAGTGCTGCTTCTTTGCTCAATCAGTTACTTGCTTTCCTCAAATAATCCCTAAAAACTACCCCTGCAAGTATGTATTTATGTGCTTACTCTTATTGTCACAAGTAGCAAGAAGTATATTACTCAAGTTAGTAAAGATAAGGACACAAATGTTGACAGGGCATTGCTCTTGCTGACCATTATCCATTTCTTTTGTACAGTTTTACCTGTATACAAACAATTTTTCAGACTGCAAAGCCTAATTTCCCTTGTATTTTTTGTCATTGCTATTTTATTCTTAGTTCACAGGATATTTAAATTGTCTTTATGCTCTCTCCAGTGATATTCTTACCTTTACTGTCTCCCAGCCTTGATCTGTTTTTTGTTTTCGTTTTTTTTTTTTTTTTTCCCCTCCCCCCCTCCTCCTCCAGTGTTATGACATTTAATTTGCCTCAGGTAGAGATTAATTCCCCTGTCATTTTAAAAGAGCCCATCCATTTCTCTATGCCTTCCAGGCATTGTGTGTCTCGTATAAACTGATCCTTCTTGGCCTCCAGCACTTTTCCTACCTACTGCTAAGTTAATCAGTTTCCCTAGGATGGAAAAAAAATACTTCTGGACACCAAAATTTGTTATGTCCCTTTAAGAGCAATAGTTTAAAAACATAATTTCATTCTAACTCTTTCAACTGACTTAATTTTTCATCTTTTAATTCATTTAGCCAACAGAAAATTATGTCAAATCAACAGTGAGGAGGCATGCTCTGAGACTGAGATTGGCTGAGGTTCAAGGTTTATATAAATTGGTATAGAATAAAAGGAATTCAGTTCTCTCCAATCATCAAAGAAGCCAACTTCCATACCTTTCTCAAAGCAATTTCTTGGGAAGATAGATCACTTCTATTATCTGCCATATGATCAGATCTTTTTATTCCATACCAAAAAAAAAAAAAAAAAATCCAAAATCAGTGAAGGAAAATGTGCCTATTAAGACTGCATATGCAGCTCTGCTTCTTTTGCAGAGGCAGATTGTAATGCATTACAATCATTTTATTATATTGTTTAAATAATATTTTTCATTAAATTTTTTCCTTAAATTTTCTCTATGTTTTCTTCTTTTTAAAATACATGTATCGACAATTGGCCAGTAACTATGTGTTTTGTATTTTCTTTCTACAAAGCAGCAAATATATTTTTTAGTGTAAATCAGGAAATGTGATGGAAAATTTAGAGTAATCAATGGGTACATTTAGATTTTAAAAGACCACTTAATTCTCATGAGAAACAAGCCAGACAATGAAATCCTAGCACTTTTATTTGCATTCACAGGACATAGGTCCTTGAAAATCTTGTCCCTGAACTAAAACTACTAAATTACTTTTGCTCTGTACATATGGTATCAGCAGTACAAACCTTAGGTGCAGTTGTGAGCTTGCAGACAGGAATGCAACACTTGGAATTATGCCCTGGCCAGAAATTCAAAGTATGCTTTTAAACAGCTTTGAAGTATGCCCTGTCATGTATCCATCCTTCCACGGTAGCCTCTCGGCAGGCTCATCCTGCAACGCACCGCTGTTAACCTAGATCCCCCACAGGCCCAAGAAGGAAAGGCTCGTGCCTTCCCACAGCTAGCATGGCCTCTTCCCGTCCTCTCCTTCTCGCCTGCCCTGGATCTCCAGCCACTTCCCGCTCGCAGAGATGAGCTTGGAGCGGCACTGCGGGCCCCAGCGGGGCTCTCGCACCGGTATCCACCTCACCCCGCCCTGCCCTCCTGCCCATCCTTGAGCCTTTACCCCCAGTTGCAGAAGCGTAGTAAGAGATATCCTCTGGGCGATCAGAAATGTGGCATTTCTCAGACTGGGCAGGTCCTGTGTCTTTTTGTTTGCCTTCCTGCTGCTCTTTCCGAGCCAGCCAGAACAGGCAGGGATCAGCCCGCGATGCCGGACGTCTCCGTGCTCTGCAGTGGAGGTTCATGCGAAACAGCTCCTCGCTTGCGGACCCTCGAGCCATCCTGGGCTGCTAGAGGAGGGCTCCATACCCAAAGCTGAGGCAGTTAAACACTTAACTGTGAGTACAGTTTGGATATATATGTCAGCACATCTTCACGATTTCCTCTTGCACAACAGGTATTGACCTAGGTATAAATATGACCTGCCAGGTGTAAGAATGATTTTAACATATGAATGATGTCCAGAGACTACACACAGCACTAAAAGAGGTTACCATCTACTGAATGCTCTGTTTTTAGTAAAGGTCAAATGGAGAAACACATTTTACTTACTGTCCAGCCAGATACAATACTAAGACATCCACATTCCTCTTAAAGCCACAGATCTTCAGTTGGTTTTCTATTGCCTGACAGCATATGGTATATTTGTCAGCATAATATACTGCAGTCACATATTCATTACATTGTAATTGAACATGCACAATCAACACACAGTTAAATTTACACACGTGTCAAAATCATTATATTCATCACAGCACCTTTCAAGCAAAGTATGATCTAAGACAGAGATACCAAACTAATAACTTCTATTTTGATGAAAAAACTACAGCATTTGTGTTAGACTTATTCCACTTTTCTTTACATGTGAGAATCATGGTTTGTAAGATATGAAGGGAAAAAAGCAACATATGCTGACGGTAGGGACTGGCTTCTCTCCCATGATAGCCATCCCAAGGATCAACTGGGAAAACCACTTATCTTAAACTTAACGCACATGACTTTAATAAATAACTAAATAAGCACCATAAAACTGTGCTTGTATATTAACTTCAAAACATGGAGACACAGATGGGATTTTCAGATCACCACTGCACGTGCTGCCATTTGTAAAAGCGGCAAGTTCCTGGCAAAAGAAGAATTGCAGATACCAATCAGTGCCGCCTAACAAAAGGTGTAGCCTGTACCGGATCACCTAGCATCGCCCAGATCACCCTCTCCCACGTTTTTCCACTCCCCAGGCTCCCGGCGAGGCGCCTCGCGCCCCTTCCCGGCCAGCCGGGGGCAGCGCGCAGCCCCCTATCCCGCTCACCTGC